GAGAGAGATGATGNTTATCGAGGCCACCCCTATCCCCAGCCATATATTCACATATCGAGTCCCAACAGCAACAGTGTAGGGATGAGCACAACAGTACATGTGAGCATGAAGGATGGACAATCTTCGGGGATTTTAGATTGGGAACACAACAAAACACTAACACTCAAGGATTTGAGAATAGTCAGACGCTTGCTAATATCGATGATTCGTTTTTAGATCGAATCAATGAATTGTTAAACGAATTCAATCAATGGCACCAGCGTGACCAAGAAGAACAATAACGTCGTCTATCATTTTATTTTTTGATCATATGTTACTAATTTTATGCTTTATTGTAGTCCATGTATGTTGATATACTTATTCCATGATAATTATATGTTTATCATTTTGTGTGATGTAAATTAAATGCTGAATGGCGGTTCATGCAGGGAAAGAACATATCAATATTCGCATATTCATTCAAAAACATGAAAATTCTTAATGGAGTACCCTCATTTCTTATTGAATTCCTAAAAAAAAATATTTATAATGAATTTTAATAATTTTTTCGGATTTTTTTTAAGCTTTATTCTGACCTATTCACCCGATTCCCGATCCGTATCACCGATTCGGATCGGTTTTTTGGAAATCCGATTCGGATCACCAATCCGTTTTTTAAACCATTGGTTTCAACGCAAAAAATAAGTACAAAATCTCCCATGATTCCTAAAATTGGCCAAGATTTGGGCTGCAATTTCATCATGCAGTCTTCCACCAAACTCAGTCAACCCTGCTAAGTTGTTGGAGGTTCAGTACTATCATCCACTGCATTTTCCTTGGCCACTCCTCCCAAATTTTCAAGAGCTCTCTTCTCTAACACATGCTCGGGTCATCTTGTCGCCTGGATAATGTCATGCGATATACATGTGGGTATGATGATTTCAACCTACGTCGGATTACAAATTGAGCTATCAAGATCTAGAACGGCATCTTCCATATTCCAAAAGTAAACTCGCAAAATATTCCGTAACCATGAATGGCAATGGTCGAATAACTCTCGCTCCGACCTCAATTTGAGATATTGGAGCCAGAGTTCGACAGCCCGGGAATTCCTTAAGATGGTACTGAACAACACGATATGAGCAAATGGAACTATGCATGTTGAGGCAGTGCGCATCTTTGAGCTAACATTTACCTACACCAATTTAATCAAATATATCAGTGAATATGTCATGAAGTTGTATCAAAGGGTGTTGAGGCACTTTCAATGAGTTAGTCGGCCTGCCAATTGTATCCCATAAGATTTTCAGGTATGCAACGTATCCTTCCTATCCAACAAGCACTAATGGAAAAACTAATCAAGTCATCGTGCCTTATCCCAATTATTTGAAGTCGTGTAGGAAAATCTAATCAAATGAAACTAGAAAACTCCATATTTATATATGCACCTTTCTATTATGAAATCGTGAAAATATTTGCTTCCTAACTCAAGTTGGGGATGTGGCCTATTCCCCATAAAGTTCAACTATTCATCTGGTTAGCGGCACAACATAAGATTTTGACTATAGATAACCTTATCAAGCGGGGTAAAATTTTACCTAACGTTTGCTTACTTTGCAAACAAGACGATGAATCTGTTGCACAATTGTTGATGCATTGCATTTTCTCTTCTCGAATCTGGCACTGGCTCTTTAGCTTGGTTGGTGTGTCTATGGCAAGGCCGCAGACAGAAGGGCCTTTGAAGGTGTGGTTTTACCATATCAAAAGGTTATTCTAATAATCCAACATTCAATTTGGTCATGTCTTTTTGTGACTAAAGATGGATGGGGAATTACGAAAGTAAATGTCATGACCAATCTTTCTAGTATTTTCTCACTTGGGGTTAGAAAATCACGGTGGCTTTATGGTATGCTCCTCCTTTTGGATGTCTTAAGATTAATTTTGATGGTAGCTTAATTGGTAACCCAGGTCCCGCGGATATTGGGGGTATTATTCGTGATTGTTTCGGGAACACTATTCTCTCCTATGCAGGACCTATCGGTAGGGCAACATCGAATCTTGCTAAGATGAGTGCCTTACTCAGAGGTTTACTTATTTTTAAGCATCGTAACTTGGGCATTAATCTCATTGTTGAAGGAGATTCTTTGAACGTAATACAATGGTGTAGGAAAGAGCTGTCAATTCTTTGGGAACTCCGATCTCTACGGCTACAAGTCTTGGATATTTCAGCTTCTTTATACATTTCTTTCTCCCATGTTTTTTGAGAGGCTAATGTGATTGCTAATGCTTTGGCTAAAGGAGGTGTTGGCCTATACTCTCTGCTGATGTAATCTCTTTTTAGAATATCAATAAAATTCTGTAACATTGGTCAAAAAAAGTTGGGGACGTGTGTCCAAAAAATGATCAAAGATGATCCTAGCAAAGTATTCGAGTTAGTTAAACTAAAGCAAACTAGCACTCTATTAAAATAAGTTTTTAATTGATAGACAATTGTTACCTTGAAATAGGCTGATGTTGGGATTGGATGAGATGGAACTATGTATCTGGCTACTCGGAGGGAATTAGGAAAGTTGGTCCAACTACTTGAATTGGGTTTGATACTTTATTGAAAGAGGCAAAAAGTTTATATAAGGTTGCAACCTTAAAAATGTAGAATTACATAACCTTAAAATGTAGAATTACTAAAAATCCTCTAGTTGATCATCTCAACATCGAGATGTCTGAATATAAAAGAAAAAAGATTTTGAGTCCCAAAAATAAGGCATCTTACAACACATCATCTAGCCTGTCGATTTTCAATATTTTCATATGTTTATAGATCTACTTGATTTTAAGTATTTATGGAGTTTAAAATTTTATAATTAGATATGAAAATAGATTTTGAGATAATCCTAATAATTTTTTATACCAAAATTACATGTTATGATAAAATTTGGGGGTGCACCTTATTTGGATTGTTTAAGGTTACAACCTTATAGAAACTACACCCTTGAAAGAGAGACTAATTATATATGGAAAAGGTTTAAATAAGGTTGCAACCTTAAAATGTAGAACTAAAGATGCACATAAAAAATCCATCATAAAAGGTTGTTTGGATGTTGAAAAACCTTTTAATTGATCATCTCGACATCGAGATGTATGAATATAAAATAAAAACAAGATTTTGAGTCCGCGAAATAGTGTATCTTGCAACATATTATCTAGACCATCCATTTTCAAGATTTGCATATGTTTGTAAATCTTATTGATTTGAACCATTTTTAGAGTTTAAAATTTTATAATTAGATATGAAAATAGATTCTTAAGCCATCCTAAGAATTTTTTCTATCAAAATTACATGTTATGATAAAATTTAGAGGCACACATTAATTGGATTGTTTAAGGTTGCAACCTTATGCAAATCGCACCCATTATATATTGCCTATTAGTTTAATATAGAAGGTGTATACGGTAATCTATATATTTAGGAAGGTGTATATTGTAATCAGTATATATAGGAAGGGTAGGTACAATATCTTGTATTTTATAGTAAGTCTCGATAGAGTATAGCTGTTTATGATTTATTTCTATTTTTGTCATCTATATTTCTATTTAAGACAAGCTTGCATATTCACAATCTTCAATGGACATTGAGTCT